CAGGGAACAGAGCTAGACAAGAGAATGGGAACACAAGGACAAGGATAATGACCAAAAACAACCAATGACATTCACAAGTTAAAGTTAATTTAATTTATATAGCTCATTTTTACAACAATTTCCAAGTTTATGTTCATGTTAATTTCATATGGTCACTTCAACCCAAATCGGTTTATTGGAATAAACTATAGGCCTACTTGGGTTCAATTCAACTCGACTTCAGTGGACTACATTACACATATTATAGACATGATTCATGGGTCTTTTTTTATTTTTTTATTTTTGTCTTAATTTTAAAATCTGAAAGTTCTTGTTTTAGGTTCTTCATATAGGCCTATTATATAGGCTACCTTGTTATATAAAAAACATTAAGACAGGTTTTAATAATTATTAAAACATTTCTTAATGTTTTTTTATTGAATGAAACGTTTTTCATTATCTTAGAAAAACATTAAGAGAACGTTTATATAATGGGAGAATTGAACGTTTGAATAACGTTCTTATAACCAAGCAAGAACGTTAATACAACGTTTATATAAAGGGAGAATTGAACGTTCTAACGTTATTATAACCAGGAAATAACATTAATACAACGTTTACATAACGGGAGAATTGAACGTTCTTATAACCAAGAAATAACGTTAATAAAACGTCTAAAAAACTGGACTTTTTGAAATTCCCTAGAACATTCAGAAATAACGTTTTTATAACTTAATGGGAACGTTATGAAAACGTTCTTATAACCTAAAATTGTTAGCTGGGGAAGAGGAGCGATTCGCGATTGCACTGAACACGTTTTTAAGTGCAGGCATATTCTCTGAGCGAGGCAGCGAGCTCACTCAGCCCACTCAGCCCAGAGAGAGAATTCTTACAAGAGAAGTGTATCTGAGAGCGCGTGCCCAGTTCCCGCGCGCGAGCAGAGAGATTCACGCTCGGCACATCATATTCCGCGCGCGAGCAGAGAGATTCGCGCTCGGCACATCATATTCCGCGCGCGAGCAGAGAGATTCACGCTCGGCACATCATATTCCGCGCGCGAGCAGAGAGATTCACGCTCGGCACATCATATTCCGCGCGCGAGCAGAGAGATTCGCGCTCGGCACATCATATTCCGCGCGCGAGCAGAGAGATTCGCGCTCGGCACATCATATTCCGCGCGCGAGCAGAGGGATTCACGCTCGGCACATCATATTCCGCGCGCGAGCAGAGGGATTCACGCTCGGCACATCATATTCCGCGCGCGAGCAGAGAGATTCACGCTCGGCACATCATATTCCGCGCGCGAGCAGAGAGATTCACGCTCGGCACATCATATTCCGCGCGCGAGCAGAGAGATTCGCGCTCGGCACATCATATTCCGCGCTCGGCACATCATATTCCGCGCGCGAGCAGAGAGATTCACGCTCGGCACATCATATTCCGCGCGCGAGCAGAGGGATTCACGCTCGGCACATCATATTCCGCGCGCGAGCAGAGGGATTCACGCTCGGCACATCATATTCCGCGCGCGAGCAGAGAGATTCACGCTCGGCACATCATATTCCGCGCGCGAGCAGAGAGATTCGCGCTCGGCACATCATATTCCGCGCGCGAGCAGAGAGATTCACGCTCGCGCATTATATTAATGTACTTTCGCGCTACAATAATGCGCTCTCGACATTTGCCAGGATAATAACGCCATAGTCCAATATCACAATTTGCTTCAAAGGGCTTTACAATCTGCAGAAAATGGTTACTAAAAGGCTACATAGTATAGTGAAGCCCTTAACTTTAATTTCATATTATTAATGTGCTTGTACACATTACAAATGCATATATGATGCAAAAATATTATACATCCCTCACACTTAGTAGCATGGGCTTCAGCATACGTCACACTGAGGAAAGCTTCATTGTGGTCATCTCCTGAAGAGCAGGAAGGACACCAGCAGGGTCTCCAAGTGTGGACAATATTTGCCAGCCACATCCATTGCATGGCATTTATTCACTTCTCACTGCTTTCTGTATATGGTGTCGACAAATCTAGACGCCGCACTGTCTTCAGCCACAAAGAGCCCCTCTTATCTCGGGACAGGTGATTCGTTCGACAGGATCTGCAGGGAGAACAGATAATGTCAGTTATGTAGCGTAGGCTAGCTGTGTTAATATAAGGTTTAAAAAGTGTACCCTAATAGTGAGAGATTCTCTTTTTCTTCTAAATGCTGAAGATAAATGAATTGATTGGTCAATCGCGCCATCAAGCGGTATGTTATTCCCAGATAACAACCGCCAAAATGAATAACACACGCTCATCCGGGTTACTACGAGTCATCTTGACCGGTGTCCTGTCATTCCATCAGACCCGTCAGATTGTCCTGCCAAGGCTTACTGCGCATGCGCACATCAGTATTGCATCATTTTTGTCACGCTTAACAACACGCTACCTTACTACTTGCGTGAGAACTTCTTCATGTGAGGTAAGTTTTTTACTATTTATGTTAATTTTTATTATACCAAGATATATAGTAGTAATGAGAACTGTTTACGGTCACATTCATACAAAGCCAGCTAGCACCATTGATCATCTTAGGATTTTTCATGAAAACGTTAGGCTCGATATGGGCTGGGCATATGATTTGATTGTTTGGTGTAAAATATAAACACACAATTATGCCAAAATGTCCGTTTTAAATAAGGTCTCAAATTAACATAATGAATGTAAAGAGTGTAAGATCCGCGCCTCTGTCAGCAGCGCGGCAGGTCTTAAAGTGTCCTAATTTCAATTATGTTTATTCATTTGTTACATCTTGATTTTCTTTTCCAACAATGCCAAATATCCTTTTAGTCTACTTCTGTCATAGTCATGTTTGCTCTTTAATGTAGATGGAGAGCTTTTTTATGGAAGTAAAAGAGTGATCAAAACCAAAGAGGAAGCCAGGATGCTCTTTGAAGACACACATTGGTGTGTGTCTTCAATTAGTGTGTGTCTTCAATTGGTGGACACTGGTGGACACACAGGGATTGGTAAAACACTTGCGGTGCCATCTGTGCCAGATTTTACTGGCATGACATGTCAGTTGACAATAAATTGTTATTTATTTGATAGTTATTTTAGTTTATATACAGTATATATCAACTCACAAATAAATATATATATACATATATTATATTTATATATATATACAACAATTTCTGAAAGGTATTGGAATGTGATCAATGTCAAAAAGTTGGAATGCCGACAGTGCATCAAGGTAAATAAGTGCAGTAACATACAGTATACATACTGTATACTAAAGGAGCTTTTCACCCATTTACTCACAGTGATTTTTCCCCCTTTATTTTTTAAGCTTAACCTCAGGCTTTGTGAAATGTTGTGCATCAAAAGAAGTGTGATAGCAGCTTATCATCCTCAAACTAATGGCCTGGATGAAAAGACCAACGACAACATTAAACGGTAAGTTTTTATTATTGTATGTACCTAGGTCAGGAAAAGTTAAGGTACCCCCGCCCCCCATGACATTTTGACATATCTTACGCTTCAAGGCACCAAATAAGTTATAAATGTGTTCCTAAAAAGGCTTTCATACGCCACGTTTATAAGCCTTTTAAAAAACAAAAATGTATGTTTCATTTTAGAGCCCTCAAGAAATTGGTTAACGACCAGCAGAATGACTGGGATGTCTATCTGGATTCCACCTTGTTTTCTTTAAGATCAAAGGTCCACACCACCACAAAACACTCCCCTTTTCTTTAAATGTATGGGAGAGAGGCAGTGTTCCCTGCAGAGACTCCTGTTGAAATGCCGAAGAGTGTGCTTATGGTAGAAAATAAACAAAGAAGAAAATAAACAAAACCCTAGGTATTTATTTGAAACAGTTGCTAAATTAACGAAAAATAGAGCTTCAACCCCAGAAGTCTCCAAGCAGCACAGCAGTAATGACTTAATGAACTTCTTTACTTACAAGATTGATAATATCAGGGGGACAATCATAACTATGCAACCGTCTACTACAGTATCCCATCAGGCAGTGCATTGTACAGTAGTCTACCTGAGGAAAAATTTTATTCATTCATTGCTATAGGAGAGGAAGAATTTAAATCATCTAAATCGACAACATGTATGTTAGACCCCATACTGATTAAGCTACTGAAAGAGATGCTTCCAAAGTTCATAGATCCCTTCTTAATATCATTAATTCATCTTTTTCATTAGGATACGTACCAAAAACTTTTATGGTGGCTATGATTAAACCACTTGTTAAAAAAATGCAACTTGATCCTACAGAATTAGTCAATTACAGGCCGATCTCGAATCTGCCTTTTCTGTCAAAAATACTATAAAAGGCAGTATCCTCACGACTGTGTTCCTTTCTAGAAAGAAATGATATCTGCGAGGATTTTCAGTCAGGATTTAGACCGTACCATAGTACCGAGACAGCTCTCATCAGAGTCACAAATGATTTGCTCTTATCATCCGATCGTGGTTGTATCTCTCTATTAGTGTTACTCGATCTTAGTGCTGCATTTGACACCATTGACCACAACATTCTTTTAAATAGACTCGAAAACTATGTTGGCATTAGTGCAATTGCATTAGCATGGTTTACATCATACTTATCTCACCGTTATCAGTTTGTAGCAATAAATGAAGAGATGTCTTATCGATCAAAATTTCAGTATGGCGTACCACAAGGCTCAGTACTAGGACCGTTGCTGTTCACTCTGTACATGCTACCATTAGGAGATATCATTAGGAAGCATGGCATTAGTTTTCACTGTTATGCTGATGATACGCAGCTCTATATTTCTTCACGCCCTGAAGAAACCTACCAATTCACAAAATTAACGGAATGCATATGTGACCACAGGAGTCATAAGATTAAGGTTTTGACTCTAGGGTGCTCGACTACGCCACTTGGGGACTTTCACACCAAGATGTAATTTAGGTAGACCTCCAACACCTTACTTGAGACAAGAGGGCTCCCACACACAGATATTAAAGTAATGACAGAGACGTAGTATTGCCGTATAAAAGTATAACAATGTTTATTAAATAATGCAGTAAAAAACAGTCTGGGGTTTATTTCTCAGAATGATGACACTGAGTAGGCCCCATAGGCCGGTCAGAGGGAGGTAGTGGCTGCCACCAGGACTTTGAAGATGCACAAGAAAAATAATGGCTTTAATGGATCAGCTGTTTAGAAGGGGTTACCTGTCCTGGAAGCGGAGTGAGACCGACACACCACCCGTGCTGCTGATTCAATTGCCTATTCACACAGAGGCACACGCATACACACACACACTCACTACAAAATATAAATCACTGCAAATGGTGAGGTGAACGTTACCACTACAAATACGGTGTGCGGTGCGCGAAGAGGAGGACTCCGATCCGACACAGCTTCAACCCTCTAGTTCTCAAAAGAGAAGAAAAAAATGTTACTATTAAAGCCTGACTGATTAGGTCAGAAATCTAAAAGGTTAGCATTCATTACCACCACAAGCTACTGGGGCAGCCAATACCACACTTACTGCTGACATGCAACAACAAACAAAAAAAAAGGGGAAAACAAATAAAAACCAGCCACGCCTGTGTTTAGCCCAGATCAGACAGGCAAACGAAATAACACAAATAAAGAGAACAAAAAAAATGAGGCAGGGATATCACTTAAATCAAATGTACAAGAGGCAAAGCAGCAGTGACAATTTTTCTGAAGAGAGAAACAACCACAATTAAAATCTATTACATATAATAAATGTGACTCAAACCAGGATCACTCACTCAGTGATACAGATACAAAAAAAACACATTTCCTTTTACCTCTATGGGTACAACATTCCACCTAGATGGAAATCGGATTCCAGTTATCTCCCCGTGTGCAAACCTACATGAGAAATTACACAAGCATTGTTTACATAAAAAAATAGCCCATTTCAGATTAAAATAATCGATTTACCACACACATACATATACAAACAGACTACCTAAGGAACGTTCTTACTGTGAGCCATACAGCCAATGTTACCTTGACTGGCGTTCCAAAAGGCAAAACAGAGTGCGCGTACATATATCGTCTTCCAGCACAGACCTTCGGTAGCTCAACAATATGCTACCCGGAAGCGTCTGGTACGCAGTCACCTACCTGTTATCAAACAGTTACATTTTACACACCACTAGTGCAAACAACATGTTTTCAATTGAAATGGTGTGATGACACATACCTCTCACAGGCAACAGCACAGCGAACAGTTTAGAAAAGACGTACACGACGGAGATTCACTCCGTTTTCCCCCTGATGTGCCAGTTTTATGCAACAGTGTTTTGACACTAGCGAATAGCTAGCCGCTTACACGCTAACTAGGGGCGTGGCCGAGGGGAAGAGGGTACGGTGAGCACAGAAAGACAACCTTAGTATGGCCTTATATCTGCCGGTTACACATAGCTGATATAAAAAACTGGATGACTAGTAATTTCCTACTATTAAATTCTGAAAAAACAGAGATTCTAATTATTGGACAAAAAAACGTCCTCATATACGAACCTAAAATACAGTCTAACACTTGATGGCTGCTCTGTCAAGTCTTCGTCATTGGTTAGAAACCTGGGTGTGCTCATGGATCTTTAATCTTTCATTTGAAAGTCACATGTCTGGTATCTGTAAAACCGCATTTTCCATCTTAAAAAATATATCTAAATTACGTCATATGCTCTCAATGACAAAGGCTACTGAAAAACAGTCTCTACCAGTCGATCTACGAACGCCGATCCAAGCCTACTGTTCGCGCTCACCTTATCACAACTTATAGCTCGTTCACATCTCACCAGCGCACTTGGATCGGCGTTCGTAGATCAACTGGTAGAGACTCTTTTTCAAAGATGGCTTCTGCCTGTATACGCGAAGTTGACTGTATGTATAAAATATCTTCTTATTAAACTGTCTGGACACTGACAAAGTTCTCAATGCTTCGGTTTGAAGGTAGGGACCCTCATTATGCTACCGTGCTAGTGTGGGGCTATTTTGAGCCTTGTTAGTGGTATTAACAAGCGATTTTTATTTGTCATTACTCCATGCCCAATATACTAGCGTTATACTAGCTCTATAGGCTAAACTGTTTTTAGAGATAAAACTATTTACATTCATGAAAACAAATCTCAGATAACGGTTGACTAGGTAACAATGTGTAATTAGACCAAAGGTTCATTTTGCGCCGGAGTTCTCCTTTAAGTTCTATACAGAAGAGAACGTTCCGGGTTACTTGACTGTAACCCTGTTCCCTGAAAAAGCGGAACGAGATGCTGCGCTGCTTAGCGCATTGGGAACGTCTTTAATCGTGAACCGCTGTGAATATAGTGTGTAAACACGTCGATAGAATCGACCGGAAGTAATATAGCCTCGGTCGGTGACGTCATCGACGCGCGCCCGCGTGCACTCGCGCACACTCGCGTGCACCCGCGAGGCTATAAATAGATGAGCCGCAGGTGCATCGTCAGGATATTTTGTCTGAAGAGCAGTCCTGGGACATCATCAGCACGGCAAAGTAGCGCAGCATCTCGTTCCGCTTTTTCAGGGAACAGGGTTACAGTCAAGTAACCCGGAACGTTCCCTTTCAAAAGCTAAAATCGATGCTGCGCTGCTTAGCGCATTGGGAACGAGAATACCCACGCCGCCGTGCTTGAAGGTGTCTGGACTCCTTACGGTTGTGTAGGTGTGCTCACAAGAACGCAAGAAAGCCCTAGACATTAGCTTGTGATGTCGACTCAAGGACATGAGAGCCCGGAATGGCATGAACATCTAAACTATAAAACCTTATGAATGTGTGCGGAGAGGACCAGCCTGCCGCATCACAAACATGCTGTAAGGGGGCACCCCTTGCCAAAGCAGTAGAGGAGGCGACTCCTCTGGTCAGGTCTTTTGTCTTCAGAGACCTCTCTGTGTTGGTGTGCAAGCATCTATTTTCTCTCTGCTACAGATCTTTGTTAGGAGTTATTTAGCTTTATACCTGACAGTGTGCAGAATTTTCACTCTTTCTCATCTCTTAACGTCATTTAAAGAGTTTAAAAAGCAAAAAGAGAAATGAGTCAGCAAGCTAAGCGCTGTGTCCCTCCATGTTCTCGACCCATGTCAGAACTGGATACACACGCTTACTGCTTTGTGTGTTTGGGGGAGGAGCATGCGGCCGCTGCATTGGAGTCAGGGGAGTGCGAGCATTGTGAGCTGTTCACTGTTAAAATGCTTCGCGCTCCTCTTGGCTACTTTCAGTCCGCAACCGCATTATCATCATGGGGCTCCCGAATGGATTTGGCTGACGAGCAAGAGACGGGTCCGTCCCTTTCGCTTGCTTGTTCACCAGATCCACTCGTTCCCTCGCGTGATCCCAAAGCGCATCCCGGTGCTTCTTCGGCTCACGCGGGGGACGATGATGAATCTCTTGGGTCTACGGACTTCGAGCAGCCAACTTCTGAGCGTTCCTCGCGCGACGATAAATCTGTCGAGGAGCTTCTCGAGGTGGTTACTCGCGCGGTGGCCAGATTGCAGCTTGACTGGCCTCGTGAACAAGAGACCCCCAAACGCAGTAAGCTTGAGGATAGGTTTTTGTCCGGTGGCAGGGGGGAGGGACCTCAACATCAGTCTCTCCCCTTCTTCGAGGACCTCCATGATGAGCTATCTAAATCATGGAGAAAACCATATACCTCTCGTGTCTTCGTGCCTTCGACGTCGACTTTTTCGACTATCGTGGGTGCAAAGGCGCGAGGGTATGCGGAGATGCCCCAGGTTGAAGAGACGCTCGCCAGCTATCTCTCGCCTGGGTCTGCATCTTCGCTTAAAAAACCTACCCTCCCCTCAAAGCCGTGTAGAATAACATCTTCGCTTGTGGGTAAAGCTTACCAAGCTGCAGGTCAGGCTGGTGCTGCGCTGCACACAATGGCTGTGTTACAGGCATACCAGGCTGACCTCTTGAAGGACTTGAGTGCGGGTACAACGATAGATGAGGAAGCGTTTTCTGAACTGCGCCGAGCCACAGATCTGTCTCTTCGTGCCACTAAGCAAACGGCCCGTGCCATCGGCCGTTCTATGTCCGCTTTGGTAAGCACGGAGAGGCATCTGTGGCTCAACCTCACAGGCATCAAAGATAAAGATCGTGTCTTTCTTCTTGACTCTCCAGTTTCTCCCTCTGGCCTGTTTGGCGACTCGGTCAACTCAGTAGTCACCAGGTTCAGGGAGGTCAAGAAGCATGAGGAGGCGTTTGTTCAGTTCCTTCCTCGCCGCACTCAAGGGGAGGGGCCATCGGCCACCCAACCTCTCCCTGGTCCTTCAAAACCTAGGGAGGTTAAAAAGCAGAGCGTGGCGAGCCGTGCTCCTCCTAGTAAGAACTGGAGACAGGCTCGTCAGGCTCAGCAACCTCCCAAGCCAGACCTCAGGACTATCATCAACAGAAAGAAGTCCTGATGGTCTGGCGCCCAGTCTGGTGGGGGTAGCCCCCCGCGGGACGGGGCGCGTATTATATCTGACCGCCCCTTCTCGTTACCCTCACAAAACCTCTCCATCCCCGCCACCTTTGGTGCTTCGGGGGTCAGCGGTTTCCAGCGAAATGTTAGATGTTCCGTTGCTCCCTGCTTTCATCCAGGGCACGGAACATCTAACATCCCCTCAAGAGGAAGTATTAAAACTGATACCACTATCAGAGAGTCTGGCAGCGTGGCAACTTCTGCCAGGCATTTCTGCTTGGGTATTAAGCATAGTACAAATAGGATACAGAATCCAATTTATTCATCGTCCTCCGCGTTTCAATGGCGTGGTCTCCACTTCCGTAAGACCGGAGCTGATGCATGTACTATCACAAGAGCTACAAACTCTTCTGAGCAAAGAGGCCATAGAACATGTTCCTCTGCCAGAGAGGGAGTCAGGCTATTACAGCAGATACTTCCTGGTCCCCAAAAAGGACGGGGGGTTGCATCCAATCTTAGATCTTCGAGGCTTAAACCGTACAGTCAAAGCGCTCAAGTTCAAGATGTTAACCGTCAAGACGGTCGTGTCGCAAATTCAACATCACGATTGGTTCGTCACGATCGATCTGAAGGACGCATATTTTCCCATACAAATATTGCCACAACACAGGAAGTTCCTGAGGTTCGCTTTCGGGGGCGAAGCATACCAATTTCGGGTTCTTCCATTCGGCCTAGCCTTATCACCCCGCACGTACACAAAATGCATGGACGCAGCACTGGCTCCATTGCGACTCCAGGGCATTCGCATTTTGAATTACATCGACGATTGGTTAATACTAGCACAATCGCAAGAGATGGTGCTTCAATAAGAGACATCGTGTTGGCTCATCTAGTTTCTCTAGGGTTGAGACTCAACACCAAGAAAAGTGTTCTTTGTCCTGCCCAGAGAACGACTTATCTCGGAATTGTTTGGGATTCGATTACGATGCGGGCACAATTTTCCCCCGCTCGAATCGAGACCATTCGGGTAACTATGAGCAAAGTCAGGCTAGGTCAAGATCGTACTGTTCGTCAGTACCAAAAGATGTTAGGTTACATGGCTTCAGCATCCACGGTGATTCCTTTGGGGCTATTGCACATGAGACCCTTTCAGTTGTGGCTAAAAGCCAGGGGATTTCATCCAAGGGCCAATCCTCAAAGGCAAATAAAAATGACGCGCCGCGGGCTACGTACACTATCTCTGTGGCTCAGACCCCGGTTCCTCGCCTTGGGTCCCACTCTAGGGGCGCCTTGTCGTCGCAGATTGCTAACGACAGACGCCTCCCTGTTGGGCTGGGGAGCGGTCTTAAGTGGTCGTCCAGCTCAAGGGGAATGGGAGGGTCATCAGCTCGATTGGCATATCAACTGCCTCGAGCTGATGGCTGTATTTCTGGCCCTGAAATACTTTCTCCCTCAGTTGAGAGGCTGTCATGTCCTAGTGCGGGTGGACAACACAGCGGCAGTTTCTTATGTAAATCACCAGGGAGGTCTGCGCTCACGCAATCTGAACAAAATAGTGAGGCAGATTTTCCTCTGGGCCCAGGAGAAGTTCCTGTCACTCAGGGCAGTGTACATCCCTGGGCACCAGAATGTGGGAGCAGATTTACTGTCCAGACAGAAACTGCTGATGGGGGAATGGAAACTCCACCCAGAAGTAGTCGATCAGATCTGGACCAGATTTTACAAAGCGGAAGTGGACCTCTTCGCCTCCCATCAGACAGCGCAATGTCCCCTCTACTTCTCTCTGAGTCACCCAGCCCCCCTGGGTCTGGATGCGATGGCGCACACATGGCCCAAAATGCGCCTGTATGCGTTTCCTCCAGTGGCTCTGCTCCCGGGAGTTCTAGCCAGAGTTCGCCAGCAAGGGTCTTGCCTCTTATTGATAGCGCCGCGTTGGCC